TGGCATATAAATTAATGTATGAAGTATCATTAATTGATGATCCATTAAGAGTCAGCTAATAAAAGATAAACCTATAGTGACTTGATCAATTGTTAATCGTGAATATTACTTATAATACTTATAATTTTATTATAGGTGATAATTGTTTACAGTCACAGATACGTTAGCTGAGCTCTGTAATGCACTCACAGTGTTATTGACAATTATGTTGAAAAGTCTTCACAGATTACTGTAGATGTGTAGTAAATGGGCTAAACGATGCAACATACTGTTACTGTTCTCCAAACAACTGGTTAACAAAATAAAATACAGCTTTTGAGTGATGAAACAGCACAAATACTCATGTAACATTTCAAAATAAAAGCGCTGGCCTCCCTGCATTTGAGCCTCATTGTATTGATGTCCCGGCTCTCCTCTGTGTGCTCTGACAGCTATTTTTTTTATTTTTAAACTTGACTTGTTCTGCCTACAGCCTCAGCAGGATCAGGAAACACACAGCACAATATCTGTTAGCAGCCATTACCAGGACGACAACCCACTGCTAATCAGCAACGCTAACAGAGTTCACACGTAGAGCTCTCTGTTGACTTGATGCAGAGCCAGCACGAGGCATCAGCAGACTGAGTGGTTGCTTAGGACCCCTCGGGCATCAGGGGGCCTTATGTTTGTTTTTTAATATTATTATTAAGACCTTTAGTGCCCCAAAAAAACGTCTCACCATCTTAAGACATTTGAGGTTTGGGGACACGAGGTTTTAGTGGCTGGTTCCATTTTGAATCTGGCTGGTTAAATATCTATCTAACAGATTATTACTTAATACTGAATATTTGATGTTCTCTGTTACGGATACAATGTGTGTATGATGATCTGTGGACTGACTAAGCTGCTCTCACTCTTCATGCTAAGCTATGCTAACAGTCTGACTCTAGTTCTGTACATAACACACATCAGTTCTCTCATCTCACTCTCAAAAAGAAGGAAAATAAGTGTTATTTTACCTTTATTTGTATTTTTTGTTACTATAATTTATCTAAAATCTTGAAACTCACATCTTCCAGTGATGAGTGAGCACCAACTCATAAGAAATAACCACAACAAAAGCAGATTAAATTCTGGATTCAAAATTATTACACTGCTGTGAAACTCTGGATTCCACATACATTAAATCAGTTTTTGTAACACGTCTACGTCGTGGAAATCGAGTTATTACAACAAGCACAATACACAATAAGCAAAAGTACTACACTTAAGTACAACTTTGAGGTAATTGTGCTATAGTTGAGTATTTCAGTTTTATACTTATTCTGCTCTGCATTTCAGAGAAAAATTTATCTTTCTTCTTTTTTCTTCACCACATTTATTTTACAGTTTAGTTAAAAGTTATTTGGCAGGTTCAAATGTGTAATAAAAAACAAAGTGTCAACAAATATTTAGCATTTTAACAGATTAAACAACCCAATATAATATTAAGTAATTAAAATCAGCTGCACATCGAACAGTGACAACATCACTAATAATCTAGTGATATAATAATCTGAAATTCTGTTTAATGTGAACTTTTACGTTTGATTATTTAAGTTCTGCAGAAAATAACTCTTGTAATTTTACTTAAAGTCCTGACAAGGAACTTTTATTTTTTTGTTATTCTGGCACCCCCTGTGGACAAAAGCAGTAGTGTTTCTATCGCCTTGTTTCATTGATTTCAAGGTGAAATCAATTAAATGGTCTTGTTTGTTTCTGTGGGTCATACAGAGGCATCGGTATTAAACTGAGGCTGTTTCATAAAAACACTTAAAAACTCCTTATTGTACATCTAAGTAAGATCTTCTTCTACCACGGCACCGCAGGTCCCACAAAAGGCCCGGTCCGGCCGTGCTCAGTGCTGGAGTCGTGCAGAGACCTTTAGGCTATAAGCTTCCCATCAGGACCAGCGGTTCCGGATGCTTCCATGTCCCCTCCGTCACCAGAACACAGAAGCGGTTTGTTCTGCGGTCCCGTCAGTGTGAGACAGCAGGCAGTGGAAGCCGACTGAAGCCCCAGCAGCCGGCTGGGGGTGGACTGCACAGACCACTTCCTCATTGAGCTCTTTAAGAGGACATGGGAAACATCAGTGAGGCCTACAAATAAACTCTGGGGGTTCCTTTCAGTCCTGAGCAAACAGTGCTTTCACTAACTTGGCAACGCTCAAGCAGGAAAAAGC